TACGAAAGTTTTGCCATTTGGACTTTTATTCAGCACGTTATTTTATACAAAATTAGAGAATTTCACAGATTTTCACCGAAACCCAAAATCCCATGCATCCGGTGCGGGGTACTTTGTATCTGGATATTTTTTTTTGCAGATTTGTTTAGAGAACTGAAAGACCTTACATTTAAGGTATCGCATGACCTATAGTGCCATTTGAGATTTTGAAGTTAGGGATGCTACCGCCATAGGGGTGGTTCGGGGAGAGCTGAGTCCTTGTCTTGGCTCCCTTTTCAAACCTTCGAAACAGGTTTTTCTTTTTTTTTATCGATTATCGTTTTTAAGATATAGGCCATTGAAAGTTTTCAGTGGGACACCCGGTACCTACAGTTAATATCTTGGGATTTTCTTTAGTTGATGTGCACGCCTTTTCACTGCCCCTATGTACGGTACTACTTCTTGAATCACACTTTCAATGTGAGTCTTCCATAATACCTTACTTGTAATAAGAAGACCCAAATATATTTATATTCGTTCACTTTTTTAAAAATATTTAGTATCATTTATTTTAATAATATGTTGATAAGTGTTTTTTTTTTTGGATGACTGTCAAGTACACGGTCTTCTTAATGTTTATGCTTAGTTTATTATAGCATAGTATAGTTCAAGATCCTTACTTACAATGTCTTCAACTAGTTGACCATCTTCACTTGTATACTCTATAACGGTATCGTCAGCAAACATAAAATACTTTGAAGTACGATCAATTTCATACTATGAACATATAAGTATTGTAAGGTTCTCAAAACTGATTCCTGAGTTATACCAACTTGTACAGCCGCTTTACTACTATACTAGATTCACCATTCACCACTGTGTATTGTTCTTTGTTCTTTGAATAAGTTTCCAACAATTTGTAGGTAATTCCTCTGCATCCCATTTAATACAGATTATTAAGGAGGATGTGTATTCTATCAAAGGCCTTCTGAAGATCAATAACACTGCAATCTAATTTTGTCAATTTCGTTTGATACATATTCTAGAAGATCTACAGTAGCACCCAAGGTATTACTGTTTTTTTTGGAACCCATACCGCCCATTGTCAAATTTAAAGGAGGCATTGATAAAACTTATTAGTTATTAGTCTGGTGTTAATAAATTTTTGAAGTACTTTGGTGAAGGTGCTTAGCAGGGATATTGGTCGTCACTTATTAAACTCATCTTGAACGCCTTTTTTATGCAATGGTAGGACTTCAGCGGTCTTTAACTCTTGTGGATAAATACCTGTTTCGAGGATTTTATTGAATATTTTCTCTCCAATTATTTGGAATAATTTTGAGAGATCGGACTTTGGACACTGTCCATTCCTGAAGCACAGTTGTTCTTAAGAGCAGTTATTTTTTCTTGAATTTTATTTGTATCAGTTGGAATAAGGAATATACTTCAATTTCCACCCCTTCGGGTTTCCCTGCAGTCATACAAGGCGTCATAGGAAGGAAGAATAAACAATTGCTTGGACAAATCCAAGTTTCCGTCAACATGATAAAATGAATAGCTTTTTGACTATTTAAAAGTAGCTAACTCGCTCAGGTCGTCAACCTTATTTTTTATGCATACTTTTAATGTTTATATGCAGAATATTCAATTTATCGTGGGTAGTCGTTTCCAGTTCTAAAGTTTTTTGTTTGACTAGACACCTTTCACTCTCTATTCTTATAGATAGGTCTAAATCATCTCTTTTAATAAATACAGTATCCGCCATAATAAACAGTACCGAACATATAAATTATATCATTTATCAATTCGATTCATGCGTATATGTACAAAAACTTTATCATAGCGACTCAAAAAAGCTTCATAACGATTCTACAAATCATTGAAAAGATTTATTAGGAGTGGTTGCTGAAATTTTTCTGAGACTTGTTTCAAACTTGAGCCTTTATTCCTTCCAAATTCGTATGACCGGAAATAGTGCTCTACTAAGAAAACTGTTTCTTGTTGAAAAATACATAATGCGAAGATTTTAACCTTAACCTAATGTCAACCTCATAACTAATCCCAAGTAAGCGAAATATGATAAATGCAACTTGCGTGCGCAATTACTCAGAGCTCTAGATTTCGGTACTGTTTATTTTGGCGGATACCGTATCTTACCATTTGCTACAAAAGCTGATTTAAGATTTTTGCTTGTTTGTATTCCCTACCATTTTTGAAAAGATTTTGGTTTTGAAGAGTTGAGTCATCATTAAAGTAGATGTTTCTATCCCTTCCTTGTAGCCCACATTATTTCACTTAAATTCATTTCGATTATCTCACTTATTTCAGAATTTTTTGCTCGACTTCCATATTTTTCAGTTTTATTAGTAATGGGGCACCTTGTTTCTTGGACACCGGGTATATATCCGTTATATGGTTTTCATTTATATCTAATTTCATTGTTTAATTGCTTTACGATGACCAAAGATGGATGTTCTTCTTGTTTTGGGACTCCAACCACGATCAGGTTATTTGCCTTTCCAACTTGCTCATTTGTATTCAATTTTTCCTCAAGTAGTTGAACTCTTTGTTCTAGAGAAATCTAATCCTCTTCAAGAGTATTTATTTCAGTAAGGAGATTAACTTTATACTTTTTTTGATCATCACAACAATTTGACAAAAACTGAACTGAGTTTTCTAGTGTTTCCATATCCTCCTTCATATTCTTTTTAAGGGGATTCATATATTCGTTAAAATTTTCAAGGCTTTTAAGCCTTCTCTATTGTCACTAAGCTCACTCCTATCACGGATTCTACAACAGTTTACTCATTTAGCTACCAGAAGATACAGGAAAAGATTTCCTAATAGGAGGGCACCTAACGAAAGGACATTTGTGTCCGTTTTGCAGAGATTGCGTGACACGGGAAGTGTAAGTGTGCGAAACGTTAATCGGAGACCTGCAATACAAATAACACCTACCTATGAAGAACAGATTTTAGCGATAAAGGTAGATAGCCCTCCAATAAGCACTATATCCATTGCCCGAAAAGATAAATATTCCCACTCAACAATTCAGCGGACCCTCCGACAAAACCGCTCTACCCATATCATGGACGTGCGTGTACAGGCATTGTTTCCTGGATATTTTCCAGACAGGGTCCGTTTTCGTGAATAGTTTCTCCAAAAAATCCAAACCTAGCCGAATTTTGTACAATCCGTTCTATCTACTGATGAGTGTTGCTTCTCAGGAGATGGAATTTAAAATTATCACAACACACACCTCGACACAAGAAAATCCACTTAGCATTCAACAAAGATTCTTGAAAGAGTTTATTATTAACAATATTTAAAAGCAAATAATAAACCAAAACAGGCAAAAATGAACACGTTGCAAGAAATAGTATATTGTGTATTTAGGTGGAAAAGTGACACATTCTCGGCCGACGGTGTAAGTTGCCGAAGCCTGCAAACACCGAAGAGAGAATGTGCTTTTCCACCGAAATACACGTACTTTTTTCTCTGCGATCGGTTAAATATCTGTTAAATGTTTGTCTTTTTGTTCCAATTATTCAGCAGTACGAGAATCACGTTCCCGGCCTAGGCCGGAAAAATTAGTCCCGTATTATTATTCAATGATTCCTTAGCAACTATTGAAACATAATTGAAATACTAGAATATTGAGTTTTGCGACCTGTCAACCGGTCAAAAATGCTGACATTTCTTGTCAATCGCAGAAAACTCTTTTCTATGGCCATTAAAAAATAAGCAACTTTCATCATATTATTACCTTAACCGAGAACGTCACTTTCGTCACTGATGATAGAATATCCCATTTCGGTATTACTAGTGACGAAAGAAAATGATTACAATTTTATGCTAAATATATTCTTTCAAATCCAATTTTATGTTAATTCTCTAAAGCACGATGCAAAACATAGTTCATCACAAAATTATAATAATTTTGCTTTCTAGGTACCGAGTGTCCCACCGAAAACTGTCAACGGCCTATACCTCAAAAATTACCGATAGAAAAAAAGCAAAACCCGTTTGGAGGGTTGGAAGGGGTAATCAATACAAGGTAGTACTTTTCAGCTCTCTCCGAACCAACTCTCTGGCGGTAGCGACCCTAACCTCAAAATCTTAAATGGCACTATAGGTCATGTGATACCTTGTTTGAAAGGTCTTTTAATTCTCTAAAAGAATCTGCAAAAAAATTATCCAGATGTACCTAAGCTTAATTTGACACAAAATAATAGCCCATACTGCGGAGGGTAGGAGGGTTCAAAGAAAAAAAAAAATTGATGATTTCTTCAAAATTATTCATGATGTTATTTATTTTCTTCCACCCGTTCAGATGAGGTCTTCATCAAAATTAGAGACATATTTAAATCTGGATATTTTTTTCAGAGGCGTAACATATCCGCATCAAGCCATCAAATCAAATTTTTCCAGTTTTGAAAACATGTTTAGTCCCGATTCTGATTTTTACAAGCAACTATTTACCGAAAGCTCGAATAATGAACTGCTCATCAGCATTTTTATTATGGGCTGTCGGCTCTTATCTTTAGGAACTCCAAAAACTATTTTCCACTTGCCGGTATTACCGCGTTCTTTCCTTAGAAGATAACTGAATTAACTGTAGCAACTTTTAGAAACTCTTCTCAAAGAGTTCAACTTATTGACAAAGACACGGCGTCGCGGGATATCCGTTTTATTAGATTTTCAAAATAACTATCTATGTTTTCTTATTTCTTTATGAGTAGCTTTCACAAGATCGATTTTAGAGTTATTCGTATTTTCGGAACTATTATTTTTCCGTAATATAAATTATTCGACAATGGTTTACTTGGAGTTAATCCCTACAACAAGTTTATAGAAACAATAAAAACTCAATAAACCTTCTAACAATGATTTTAAAATAATAATATTATGCTTGTACGTTGAACTTAACTTTTTAGAAATTTCGAGTGAGTAAACATAAGGATATGTTTAATTTTCAAGATAAAAATTTCATATAAATATAGTAGGGAGCAATTTCTCTTAGAAAATACATTCTAACTAAAGCAGAATGAAGCTTATTAGTATTTTTGTGTGCATCAATTTTTATTTTAGTTTCACAATTTCTACTTCATTTGCTCAAGAAACTCCACCTCCCTGTCATCCAATAGGTAAGACACTTATAAGATAATGAAAACTGTTTTGATAATTGAAGTATATTTTGTTATTGCAACCACTCTTCAAAGAGTGTAAAAATTTTCGACCCATTGACGGATCCAGAAATCAATATTCTGGAATTTTGAATGCTCCCCAGAAAATCGATGTTACATCAGAAAACCTAACCATTTTCTCGAATTTTTTGTCAGTTGGCGGAGTAACGAAAGTAGAAGTATTTTTTTCTACGAGTGTCATGCATTTCGATGCAGTAAAGTTACTCCGTCTCAAAATTGGTAGTCTACAAAATATTGGCCTATGAGAAAAGAGTTTCTTGAGTGAGCTTTCAACTAAGAGCGTGAGCGACTAAGTACTAAGCCAACACGCAACACATTCTAATAACAGTATAAGAGATTTCTAGTTCACCAAACAATAATGTCTTGAATATTATCAACTGGCAAAATTTCAACGTATAATAAATACCTAATAAGAATTAATCACCTTTCCCCTCATCAACATACAAATTAACCAACAAGATAGCGATTTTCACGGAAAGCATTAACTGATACCGTTAATACAAACAAAAAACACATTAACACCTTAACAATACACTAATTTGTTATCTAGAAACATCAGAACTCTGGGTCATTATTCTTGAAACATGGGATCAGCGTTCCAAAGAAAACGAGTGTTTCGTCTATGTTACTTATATTATTATTTTCATATCATTGAGAAAGACAGAACACTCATTCTCCTGGGAACGTTGCTCCCCTGTTTCAAGAATGAGGACCCTGGGATGTGAGACAGAAATCGTAGCAACAAGCTACAACGATTGAAGGATAAGCATATTATCTAACAAGATGAAACCCATCCCGCACAAATGATAACGGGGTCCTTATTCTTGAAACAGGGGAGCAGCGTTCCCAGAAGAACAAGTGTTCCGTCTTTGTTATGTATGTTATAATTTGCATATCGTTGAGAAAGACGGAACAGTCATTCTCCTGGGAACGCTGCTCCCCTAATTTCCAAAAAAAGCTGTACCTAACAAAAAAAAAAATTAGCTTCGCCTCTCATTCCTTCCCCCCCCCCCATTCATTTGAACTACTGACATCGACTATAAATATTTGGAGAAAGCGGATTCCCTTCGAAGACGATTCCCATAACGAATATTTTTACGACGATACAGATTTTCATACTATTTCATAGACAGAAGGCCAAATCAGAAATCTCGATGATAGAAAATAGAAACCTTACAATCCCCCTAACAATACAACCGAAAGTGTCAACACTCCAATGAGATTGGAGCATCTTCCAGATAAATTCATAGTAAAACTGACTCGACTCACCAACCAAGCTGCCTCATTCTTCCACGATAGTAAAAACTCATAGGCCTTTGCCATCCACTACCAAAATTATTGAAAAATTCTTCCTAGAAAACCTTTGCAGAAATATCGCAAATATCTTATGACGTATTCGAAAGTAGATACGGATGTCTTAAGACACCTCGCGGGCGCTATACCTCCGACTTTCGTAAAGTTTTCTATGAGTGAATTGTTAAAGGTACCTACATTATATTATACCATAACTAGCTGCACTTTTAAGTTCTGCAGTGTACGATAAATTGCAAAAATATTACCAGTAACGCATCATTTTAATTTCACATAGCTAAAATAATAAAACCTCTAAAACTACTATTTTTGTGTAGCATGAAAGGCCTTCAAATCAAATATACACAGCTTTAGAGCATTATTTTTTACCAAGCTTCAGTGATCATGAATAGTCAGAAACCAGAGAGCGGCGTGGTCTAGACGTTTTAAAATATTATGGTTTGTTAAGCATTGAAAAAGCTTGAACTGTTTTGCATATGAAAATTTGTTGGATTTACTTGACGAACTTCAATGTTTTTTTTAAGGGCCAATTTGTCCCCAAATTGAATGCTTTGCATGTAGGGAATGCGAACCAAATGAAGTTCTTGTGAAAAGTCCTTGTAATAATTGCTGTTTAGATACGTGTGTGCCAAAAAGTAATTATTTGTTATCTGATTATAGGAATATATAATTTTTATAATTTAATTCAAGAACCTCATTGTCCAAAAATCCAATGTCTCAGATGCCCCACATGTGCCTGTGATGAAATTTTAATCAAAAACACCACCTGTAATAATTGTTGTTTGGATTATTGTGTGCCAAAACGTAAGTGATAGATTTTTGTATTCAATGTTTTAGGCTTACTTATATGATTTTTTTATAGCTGAATGTCCTAAAATTGAGTGTTTACTATGTCCAATATGTGCTGAAAATGAAACTTTGGTTGAAAGTCCTTGTGGAAATTGCTGTTTAAATACGTGCGAGCCAAAACGTAAGAATTTTTGACTTAGTTATCATAAGTTTCCCATCTATTTCAAACTCAACTAGTTAGTCACCTATCTAATTGATCTAGTACCTATACACAGGTTTCAGGGTGGAAAGTATATTGGAGAGAGGTTAGAAGTTAAGTAAATATTTTAGGCAAAATAAGTAATTTTTATATTATTTTTACAACACCTACTTTAACTTGAAGAAGTGGATCCCCAATTTTGGGTGTTTTCTTCTCAACAAATCTTCTAATCTCCAATTAATTTACTTTTACTGAGTTTATTTGTTTAAATGGATTTTCAGCTTCAGAATGTAGTGAAGAATAACCTCAAGTTGCATGTAAAAAACACGTTGGAGGTTGAGAAAAATCAGAGACTCGAAGCAATCGGAAGTTTCATAGAAAAGAACCTTTGAACATAATAACATGATAAGCGTTCATTATTTTGCTTCGTCATCATTCGATTCCATTTTGGGCTGCTTTTCAGTTGCTTGAGAGTTTCTTGATAGGGATTTTCTAATGCTACACTGCTACGTTCATCTGCACGTAATCTCTATTCAAGCAGTATTTTAGTGCATCGGTGCATTAGTTACATTTAGGTTTTGCGAAGGTGAGATGACATCATTTTCGCCAGTTTTTCTGCATTTGTTCCTCACACTGTCTTTAAATGTCAAACTCAGGATCGATCTCCCTACCGTGTACCGTCTCTCTCTGAGTTATCTTAACCTTCTTAGCGCAAGCCATTATTCGGAGCTAAACAACTTGAAACATTAGCTGAATTGTTTAAATTTTGGGGATGCAGTTATCTAACCTTCCAAACACAATACATGACAGCGTGATTCTTCTTTTCATTCCACAAATCTGATGGTTTCAGGGAACGCGGAATCCATGACCTCGGTATACGGAGCTTCGTTTACTATTCCGATATCGTTCCTTCTCAAGATGATTTTCTAGCTGAAGAACAGGTTGATCATTGGCATGTGGTAACTATTTCACCGCATATTTCCTGAACGCTCTATGGTTCTTTAAGTATCATGAATACCGTTGTATTTTTAGAAATGTTGTGGATAAGCCTGCTGCCTATCGGTAGTTTATGTCACAATCTTGAAGAACGTGTAGCTCATTTTTCTTTAATGCCTTACGTAAATCAACGGAAGCCAATGTCTCTTGCGTTTGATAGTCTCATCCTTCTGGATAAAATATGTTATCATGCTCTAAAGGTAATCACCCCTCTACTCCCTCTCATATTCCTATATAGGCCAAGCAATGAAGGAAGTTTACCTCAACATAATTAGAAGTTAACATTTTTTGGGGGGGATCGGTTCATTTTCATGTGCTTAATAACATATTGAGTTTGCGACCTTGCACTTCCATAGGGTTCTTAGTTAGGGGTGGTTTTAAGGGGTAATTTGCGGTTTATGGAGAACGCTGATCAAAGGGATGGTCCAATAGCAAAAAGTTTCAAATGATTGTTGTAGCTGAAGTTTTTTGCTATAAAAAACTCAGCGACAGCACCCTTCTATCTTCTATAGTTTTTCTTTTTCTGCAGCGTCTTGAATAATAGCAGGTTTTTATTCAAGGTCACTGAATCAACGCTTCACCTGTTTACGCGCATTTGATGCAGCAGTGGCCAAATGCATAATCCGATTTCAATTTTTCAAACACCACATTATTGCTAAGGAAATGCACTCTCCAATGCCTTTTGGTTCTAATTTTTTGCTTGAAAATTAAGCGAGCACGGACTTGCATAATGTGCGAGGAAGTTGTAAATTGCATCGAAAACTACCCCTTTCTTGCATTCACTGTAATTTCTAAACGGGGCCAAATATTTGGTGACAGTTTTCGACAATCGGCAGCCCATTTATTCCTCTCATATACAGTGTGATTTTTTAAGTGTGCAACATATGGGGCTTTTTTTTTGTATTAGCACAACCCAAATACAAACAAGGCCAAAAGTTGGTGCATGCCTGATAATCATATTAGGTGCACTTAGAATGGTTGCAAGTCAAACAGCATACAGGGTAGCTCAAACAATATCAAAGCTGTACTGTAAAGTACCCTTATTTTAGAAAATTCAGCAAAATGTTATAGAGAAAAGTTGTTTGGAATTAAAAGTTATGCCTAAATACCAAAACATAGCCTCCTAAGATTTTTTTTATTTTCTTTCGAAAAAAATCTATAATTTCTATATTTTTTTTATTTTTTATTTCCGCCCTTAATACTTCCAAAAATTAATTAAAATCAAATCAATTTTACATAATTTTGTTCAAATTCAAGCATATTTGTTAAATTAACTTAGATTTTAAATTTTTTATGGAATTACAAAATTCATGTTTGTTGCAATGATATTCAACACAACTTTAAAATGTCGGATTTTTTTTTTTAACAAGTTAAAACATTACTTATAATAATAGCCATATTAAAAAAACTCTCCCTAAAGTGCAAAAGTTTTATTTTATTTAAGTAAATATTACTACAGTTTTGATATTTTTTGAGCTACCCTGTATGCTGTTTGACTTGCAACCATTCTAAGTGCACCTAATATGATTATCAGACATGCACCAACTTTTGGCCTTGTTTGTATTTTGATTCTGGTATTACTAAAAAAAAATCCCATATGTTGCACACTTAAGTAATGACACTGTATAGGAAATGAACTTGATGAAAATAATTTCCAATTTCGATCGAAACATACGTTAGGAATGGTTTTTCCATTATTATAAGCTTGAATTTTTTCGTTAAACGCGTATTTCAAGCCAACTTTTCATTTGGAAGTGAAGTTATTCCAGAAAATGCGAAAATAATTCTATCTTACAATAATTTCGGATAATTTACTTTTTTACTAGAGAACAAGTCTAAAAAGCACTTTTAAGAATAATTTGGGTTGTTTTGCCGTCTTTAATGCGGTTTTCAATCAAAAATACGCAGGGGAATGAACTTGATGAAAATAATTTCCAACTTCGATCCAAACATACGTTAGGAAAGGTTTTTCCATTGTTATAAGCTTGAATTTGTTCGTTAAACGCGTATTTCAAGCCAACTTTTCATTTGGAAGTGAAGTTATTCCAGAAAATGCGAAAATAATTCTATCTTACAATAATTTCGGATAATTTACTTTTTTACTAGAGAACAAGTCTAAAAAGCACTTTTAAGAAGAATTTGGGTTGTTTTGCCGTCTTCAATGCGGTTTTCAATCAAAAATACGCCAGGAAATGAACTTGATGAAAATAAACACTTTTCTTTGAAATGAAAATACCTAGTAATGGCTTATGGTTTGTCTTGATAGTCACTTTGCGGCTAAAAATATTATCATGTAATTTCTTAATTCCTGTAATTATGGAGAGAGCTTGTCAATTTGGGCAAAATTTTTCTTACTGTGCGACAGTGTACAACTGTGATATGCCACTGGAGTTTCTCTTCCATTATCATTTGGCTGACTTAACACACAGCCCACACCATAGGGACTGGCGTCACGTGTTAAAGTGGGTTTTTTTTTAAATCTGTATAAAGTGCTAAAACTAGCTCTTTACTTAAAATGTCATCTAATGCATCAGACGCCGTGTGTTCTTAGGTACGCGACTGCAATCGCGATTCTTTTCTCAGAAGGCAATGCAATGGGTTTGCTATAGTTGCTTTATCTTCAAGAAAAACATGATAAAAGTTCAAAAGTCCAAGGAAAGCCTGTAGCTCAGTCTTATTCTTAGGCCCCGGGACATTAGCTATTGCCTGGATTTTCTCGTTAGTGAGCCGAATACCATCTTCACCCCTTTGGCATCCTAAAAAATCTATTGACTTGGTATTAAACACACACTTGTCTTTGCGCAAATTAAGTTCATCTTCCCCAAAATGTGGAAGCACGGCGCGCACTTTACTGTCCGAACAGCTTCTGATTGTCCAACAACTAGTGTATCTTCATAATATGGCTACTTCAAAATTAAGGGGCTACTGACTAAACGATTTCATTTGAATGCACCCTTATAGTACGAGGCTAATTACTTGCCCAAAAAATTGTCACAACTGCAACTCACATTATTTAATGTAAACCCATACTCCGCACTGTTAAAGTCAATGTTCTGAACACTTGCCGATTCATTTTCCTGGCACAAATTACTAGTCTTGTTGGTGTGCACTATGTCTGTCTGTTTGTCCCTTCCTTCTTAACCCTTCACTGGTCGCTAGATTTTATTTCACATAACTGGTCGCTTGGCGTACTTTGTACGCCACTTGAATAAAAATTTCTTTTCATAATCGAGACGAATTTTGCTACCTTCGAAGTAATGTGGAATCCTTAGTAACTTCAAGTAGTATTGATTACACACAATAAACATTGGATATAATGTGTCACAAAAAAATAAAAAAGCATTTTATTTATAACAAATAAAAAATAATGACAACCGAACAAACTTCATTTTCTAAAATCCTGTCGCTAAACGGGTATAGCAAAACACATAAAACTAACATTTTCAATCCCAACCACATAAATATTACAGTTTAGGCGAAAACAGTATATTAAACCATTATAAAAATAAAAATCATAAACGGTCGCTTTGGCGTATTTTGTACGCCAATTAGTACATTATTCAAAGCAGCGCCCTGCAGGGAAGCGGAATGGAAACCAACGGGATCGCTACTTTTCCAGTGCATACAGGACACTATGGTGGTAGGTTACATAGGCGATCACCTTCGGCCAATCGCTAGTTTCAATATGTCACGTGTTTGAACTCGTTTGGCGTACTTTTTACGTCGGAGCGACGAATTAAGGGTTAAGAAAACAAGCTACCTCAATGTGCCCCATTTTACTACAGTAGTTACACTTCGAGTTTTTATGCACACAGAAATCGACCAAATGGTTTTTTTCACAACGCAAATATTTCATAAAACCATCTTGCTTATCGCGACAGTCACGTTCCTCTGCTAATCTAGTAAAATCGGTAACTCCACACACGACCCGGTCACGCATTGTTATAAATTGTTCCAGAAACAGCTATTAGACGGACAGCGATTGA